ACCATCCTTCACTGCCAAGGTTACCATTTCTCAATTACCCCATTTCCTGTGTGTTCCTTGCTAGCTTTTGCTGCTTGGGGAGCAATTTCAAGGTTCCATCTTCTGTGTGCATTTATCTTTTAGCTTTCAAAAGTTTCTTTTCTGAAACTCATTTTTTGTGATTATAAAATTCACTTATGTTTTTTGCTGTTTTTACAGATGACTGTGACAATGCTAAACTGTAGTAGAAAATTTTAAGCTGAAACATGGTGGTTAGCAAATAGAATAAAAAGGCATGCTTCTTCCTTTTGGGCTTTGGTACAAGGTCAAGAAGAAATGTCCTGTTCATTTTCCTTTCTCTTTTGCTCCTCCCTTTTGGTAGTGTTCTTTTTGAAAAATCTTTGATCACCCCATTATATTTCACTTTGTCCAAGATGGTTTGTATTTAAAAAATCAGAAGAAAAAAGTTATATATGAATTTCCCTTTTCTTGTGCTTCTTTTCATTTTGACCGATGTTGTCTGAGATCTCTCTCCTTTCTCGTTTTCTTCATGTTTATCGTCTCCCGATTTCATCCTAAAGAGATAACACACACGTGTTTTCTCCTCACATTGACAACTACCCCATCTGCTTGTTTGTAAGGTGCCACCAGCATTCAACCAACACTCATTTACCAGTTATTAATTTCGTTCTTGGATCAATACATATTCACAGATATACTGGGCGTGGTTTTTATTTTTCTGGATTCTTCTTTGGGAGATGGGAAATGGACTGTGATGTAGTGTGGTTGGCGAGGATCTGTTGTAAGGATACTTAACATGGTCCAGACAGTTCATCCTAGAGGAGACATTCTGACCTGCATTGTGACCAATGGAAAGCTGGCCAGTTTGAAGAGTAGGTTAGAATGGGGTGAGTTACTGATAGCAAGTGACCTGGGAATGAAATTTAACTGGAAGTCATTGAGAAAAATTTGAAAAGTTTAAGATACAATCTGTGGATTTGTGTGGATGAACAGATGAGATAAAAGAGCATTAAAGAAGATTAGAAAGCCGGACGTTTGTGGCTCACGCCTGTAATCCTAGCTACTCAGGAGGCTGAGATCTGAGGATTGCGGTTCAAAGCCAGCCCGAACAGGAAAGACCATGAGACTCCTATCTCCAATAAACCACCAGAAAACCGGAAGTGGCTCTGTAGCTCAAGTGGTAGAGCGCTCGCCTTGAACTGAAGAGCTGAAGGACAGCGTCCATGCCCAGAGTTCAAGCCCCACGACTGCCCCCCCCCAAAAAAAAGAAGAAGATTAGAGCTATAACGAAAAGTCAGTCTCTAGAAAAAAAATGCTCCAGGATTTTAGTATTCTGCTGTGGACTATACTATTTTTCCTGTTTTTCTTCTTCTGAGAATAGAGGAGAATCTTTTTATTTGATTTGATTCCTTTGCTGTTTACATGTGAAGGTTTTAAGCAAGGGTGTCTCATCAGCTTAGTTGCTTATCTGGTTGTAACACAGAAAGTACATTGTATTAAGTCAAAAGTATTTATCAGAAACGTACTAATACTGCAAATATAATTGTAAAAAGTCAGATATATGCTTTGCCCTCATTTCCAGATGTAAATTCTAGGTGGTATAAGATCTGGTAGGATGCTATGGCCAGGAAGATATTTTAGTTCTCTGAATTTATGCTGCTGCATTAGGGATGGTGGGTATAAGTGTGCATATGTAAAAGATATCTAGGAGATAGTATAGAATATGGTGATTGGCTGGACAGGGGTGGTCAGTCTGATAGGGAGAAAATATGCAGCATCCCCAATATTGAACTATTTTTTCTTTCTTTCTATGCTGACACTCTGTTGACTTTGTTGGTGTTTCTGAATTTTCTATGTCTAGCTATCACTGTGGCCAGCTGTCCATTCTGTCATCCTGTTTGGTGGATGTACAATGGTATGGAATAAATGATGGGTCACTGACCTCATAGCAGAATACATTGACTATGGGAAAGCTATTATCAAGAATTATGCTAAGCAGATCTTCCTGTCAGACACGTTTTGCTATTCATTCTGTTATATGAAATGCAGGACAATCAGGTGGTGACACAGGATGTAGAAGTGTGGCATGAGGGTGGATCATGTGAGAAAAAAGGATTTTGAAACTGATTTGAGTGTTTTGAGAGGAAATAAAAGCAAGAGAATAGAATACTTACAGGGACAGTTGGTGGTTGTTATGGCTCAGTATTTCTTTTTGCACATAGGAGGTTAATTAATTAATTATAGGCCTTAAGTTGTTGTGTAACATGTCAGTTTGTGGATTACAATGAATCTTGATCAATATTTCTTTGAGAGAATCCCTGAAGACACTAAGATTCTTTGTTATTTTGTGGAAGGACTTCTGGAAAATATTTCTGGCAAGATATATTTAACCATATATTTAGCCACGCATTTATCAAATCTGAAGTTTTCCAAATATATCTCATCCTGCCTTTTATATTTCTACTGTATCCAACTTCTGTGGAACTGGAGCCCCCTACTCCCCAGCCCCAGGCTGCATCAAATGTTGATCTAAGTAAGTCATAACCATAGTAATGATTACTTACTATGCAGTATGCAGCTTTACACAACTTTTTCATTTAATCTTTGGCCGCACTATGATGTATAAATTATTACTATCCTTGCCTTACTGTAGTGAAAACACTGAGTTTTTGAAGAGTTTCATTTAAGTATATAATGGTTACATAAGAAGTCTGACTTAAAACCCAAGTATGATTTTAAATTGCTAACACTGAATCCATTGTATTTTGTGTTTGGCTTGTCATGAGACAAAGTTAAATGGAACTTTTGCAGCCATGAGTGCTCCTTAGACTCCTCTGATTTGTGTCATGAATGGAACTTAGCCTTCCAGCATTTCCAAGAACAGATTATTATTAACAAGGATTTTTATAATCAGTGTTATAATCAGTATGCTGTCTGAACATGAAAATCAGTGGGACAGACATTTCACATACATTATTTCATTTACAGATTATGGTAGAAGAAACTGAAACAGGAGATCCAAAAGTTAGAAGAGATATTTAAGCAGAATATCTACGAAAAATAAAATTACTTAAAAGTTACATATTTAGAAACTGGTAGCATCTGGATCCAAACCCAAATAGTCAGACTCAAAAGCTAATGCCTTCCTGGAATATGGATTAATGTGTACAACTTCTATAAGCAAAAATATTAACATTATATTTCTCAAAATATGTAATGTATTATTTTATTTTTCATGCACTTATACATGTAAAAGCTTTCTTTAAATATGTGATATATTACTTTATTTTTCATATATTTATACACGTAAAAGCTTTCTTTAAATTATACACTCAACATTACTACCATGGGGTCATATTTTTGGGAAAAGGAATGCTTTGAAGGTGGAACAAGAAAAATTAACCTACAGAATTCAAGAGGAAGAAGAATTAGAGTAGATCAGGATGTAGCTCCAGGAAGTTACATTAGAATCTGAGAAGATAGGAATCTATAGGACAAATACAATTATAATTCAGCATAGGATCTGAATGTAAAATACTCTAGCCGACACATACATATTTTATCACCCTCATAAACACACACATACAGATTTGTTCCATGTTAGTTTTGTTTTTCCCTGAGCAATGCAGTGATTTGTGTTAGGATTTTAGAATTCTATCATTCTGAGTTGGGATTTTTATACTATTATTAAGTGAAGAAAAATTTCAAATTGCACCAGCTACAACATGGAAATGAACATACCCATGCCTTAAATTTGGTCTGAAGAACAAAATATATAATGTGTAAAGTGCTGGAGAAAGTTAAGGGCTGAATTTTTATTACTAGTAGCTCTATTGTGCTAGTATATCATTTTTACACTTTCCTGAGTTTTATGGGCTCAACTTGGAAATGTTAACTTGGAATTTTTAATTCTGCTTTTTAATTTTCTCCTACTTGTGATGGGACCAATAAGGTAGATTTTTTAGCAATATTGTATTTTTACAAGCAGGCTTGTACATGTTAGATAGATCAGATTAGTTTACAATAAGGAAGCTGTTTTACCTCCTCCCACCCCCACCCCAGTTCTTGGGGCTTTAACTTTGGGCCTGGGTACTGTTTCTGAACTTTTGTGTTCAAGGCTAGCATTCTATCACTTGAGCCATAGCTCTACTTCTGGCTTTTCTGATTAATTGGAGATAAGAATCCCACAGATTTTTCTGTCCTGGTTGGTTTCAAACCACCGTCCTCAGATCTAGGATTACAGGTGTGAGCCACCAAAGCCTGCTTTACTAGATGATTTTTTAAGATCCATTACAAATAATAAATTTGAATGCTTTCATTATGTGTAGGAATTTATGCCATTTTGCCTAAAGTATTTGTTTTAATAATTTGGCTTGACATTAGGAAGAATATTTGCAAAATGTAAAATAATATATTTTAAATAATATTATATTATATTAATTATATATATTATATTAATATAGTATTATATTAAATAATATTATATTATAATATAATATGATAATATATTATAAATATATTTTCATACTTTATGAACAGGAATGGTGACTCAGCACCTTATGTGAAAATAGAACTAGGCAAACTGAGGAGATGGGTGGGCTTGGGAGAGATGGGGCGAATGATGGAATGGCTGATATTGCTCAAGATACATTGTGCTTATAAATTGATATATTGAATCGAAACTCCTTTGTACAACTACTTAAAGATGATAATAATAACAGCAACCATAATGATCCCAAAACTTGGGAAGCTGACAATCCCCAAACTTGGGAAACAGAAACCTGAGTTCAAGGCTAGCTGAAAAATAAGAAATAAGACAAATAACAATGACAAAACCAAACATCAGTTATGTTCAGCAAGCAGCATTTTTAAGCCAAGGATAGAGGCTTCAGGAAATAAGTGCTGAAATGCTATGGAAGGCTCCAATACAGTACAACTATAATGGAAACACAATGATTTCACATACTTAGGATTTTTATTTATTTATTTTTTATCTGCAGGATGAATAAGAGATACTTGCAGAAAGCAACAAAAGGAAAACTGCTAATAATAATCTTTATTGTCACCTTGTGGGGGAAAGTTGTATCCAGTGCAAACCATCATAAAGGTAAGCTTTTGTTCTTTCCTCCCCAGCTCTCTGTGGAACAGGATTCCCCTTCAATACAGACGGCTGCATTTTGTCTTCACTGTCCCATTAAATTTTATTAGGTATGAGTGTTGCCCCCAGCAAGTCTCTTTAAGTTAAAACACAGGGACTCATCCTTAAGATGACTTTGATAGGGGAAACATGATATTCCCAGGATTACTGCCATTTCTGCAAAATATTGTGCAAAGAGCATAAAAAAATTAATGGTCTTTCCTCCGTTCTAAGTTAGTGGCTACACATTGAGGTGACATGATAACGGTGAGCCTCAGAATACTGTCATCCTCGTAAAGAAAGCATTTTAAATTGTCCTTGTGTTGATAATATATGCACAGGATATGTAAACACTTTTGTGGGCCACATTTCCTTCCCAGTAAGATATAGAGCAGGCTGAATTCTGCTGTAGAGTAGAGCTACTATTTGCTCTGTATGTATGTGTTAAGCTTGACAGCTCAAAACGATGCCTTTTCTGTCCTCTTTCCTGGCTGTTAGACTGAATATAATGAATAGCTGCCTTTTCCAAATGAGTTAAGATAGGGCTATTTCTGAACTGTACCTACCATAATCAACTATTCATAACCTGAGAAGTCAATTTAGATTTTCCTGTGAAATATGGTTTTACCACTCATTTCTCAGTCTGTTATGAAGCCTAGGGATGTAATATAGTTTCTTCTATTTCTTTTTTTTCTTTTGTTTTTTTTTTATTGTAAAAATACTGTACAGAGGGGTTACAGTTACATGAGTAAGGTAATGAGTACATTTCCTATTGAGCATTGTTACTTCCTCTTTTGTTTTTCCCCTACCATCCTTTCCCACCCCACTTCCACAACTCCTCCTCCCACCCCCAAAGTTGTAAAGTTCATTTTCAACATAGTGTCTTGTACATCTCATTGTTACAAAGGGTCAATCTGTATCCTTACTCCAGCATTTTGTTATTTCCTTTCTCCTCCCCAAATTATAAAAATGTATATACAAGACGCAGGGCATTGGAATCAAATACAGTGAAAATAGGGGTTATACTGTGAGGGAAAAACATACAAAAGAAAAAAAAATCACATAGTACCTTATACATACGTTAAAAACAATAGCAAGAAAGAAAAAAAACCAGTTGTGTCCCTATCTTTTGGTTCATTTCACTTAACCTCATCTTTCATGGGCATATGTGCATAGCTTCTGACTTTTTTGCTTGTCCTAGATTTATGCTAGTTATTGCAAATAAGGAAAACCATGGGACCTATGTTTCTTTGGGCCTGGCTTACTTCACTTAATATAATTTTTTCCAATCTTTCCATTTCCTAACAAATGGAGCAATGCCATTCTTCTTGATGGAGGCATAGAATTCCACTGTATATATTCCACATTTTCTTGATCCATTCATCTACTGAGGGGCATCTGGGTTGGTTCCATATCTTAACTATGGCAAATAATGCTGTGATTAACATGATTATGCTGGTAGCTTTAGTATAGCCTTGTTTGTGAACATTTGGGTAAATGTCCAAAAGTGGGATTGCTGGGTCATAGGGGAGCTCTATGTGAAGGGGGAATGAAGACAGCTTTGAATTCTCTAACATTTAAATTAATTACACATGTGCATATAATTAGCATTACATGGAACATTAACACCAGGGAGAAGGAAGATGTGATTTGCAGGATTAAAACCTGTGAAACAAACCTTTCCCCTTTTGTTTAAAATAAAAAAGAGACATCTTGTGAAATAAGACTTTGTGAAGAGTTATTCACATATCATAATTCTTTTTTCGACCCATAATGTATAAGTACAAATCCTTTTCTAAGCTTTCATACCAACTTTAGGATTTCTTTCATAACCTTGATCAGTGTAAAATTAAAAGGATATTCACTATGTCCCACACAGGCAACTAAAGTCAAAATGATATTAACTGCTCACATTCCAAAGAGCTGTCCACTGTTGAGGAGAGGCCCTGTTTGGGGCTAAACAAAGGAGCCTATATCATTCCTACTATCCCTGAGGGCTACCCAGTACCTGTTCCTAACCTAAAAAAGATTTGGGGTAGGAAATGTGAGTGAGTCAGCTTGGCACAGCAAATGTTCATGAAAAAGATGCTTTCTCATTTCAAAATCTTAGTGATGGAATGGTTTTCCTTATTTGCAATAACTAGTATATGTCTGAGACAAACAGAAAAGGTCAGATAAGTTGATGTTAGATGAAATGAACCTGAAGATAAGTATTCAAATGTTTTTGCTTTCATGCAATTGTTTCTAACATATTTATAAGATGACTTCTTTGTTGCTTTGTATGTCCCTCCCCCTGCTTTCACTGTATTTGATGATGGTATAATTTGTGGAGGGGAAGGGCAAAAACAAATCATTTAAATAGGGATACAGGTGAACCCATTGCAACAATGAGATGTACAAGATGTTATGTTGGAAAACAAACTTTACAACTTTGGCAGGAGGGGGGCGGGGGGGAGGGAGGTGTGATGGGAAGGGATAGGAAGGGGAAACAAAGGAGGAGGCAACAATGCTTAATAAGAAATGTACTCATTATCTTGCCCATGTAATTGTAACCACTCTGAACCTCTGTATGGTGTTTTCACAATAAAAAAATAAAACAACAACAACAAACCATGCAAGTATAGATTGCATGCCACTAGTAAAGCTGTTTCTAAGAATTTTAGGTTGTGTTCTGGTCTAACCTAACCCCAAAGTAAGACATTTTCTGTTTTTAATGTATTTATAAGGTACTATGTGATTTTTTTTGGTATGTTCTTCCCCCATGGTATAGCCTCTGTTTTCACTGTATTTGATTCCAATGCCCAGCATCTTGCATATACATTTTTATAATTTGGTGAGGGGAAGGGAAATAACAAAATGCTGAAATAAGGATACAGGTTGACCCATTGTAACAATGAGATGTACAATACACTATGTTGAAAATGTACTTTACAACTTCGGGAAAGCGGGGGGTAGGGAGAATTGGAGAGGTGGGGAGGGAAGGGATGGTAGGGAAAAAACAAAAGAGGAGGTAACAATGCTCGATAGGAAATGTACTCATTACCTTACTCATGTAACTGTAACCCCTCTGTACAGTATTTTTACAATAAAAACATATAAGAAAATTTCTTACTACTTGACAACAACATACTATGTGAACATAAGAAGTTACACATTGTGTCCAGATAATTACATAAATTGCCAAATCCAATACAGTTTGAAAGAGAGAGAGGGAGAGAGAAAGAGAGGGAGAGAGAGAGAGAGAGAGAGAGAGAGAGAGAGAGAGAGAGAGTTAATTCTTGGTTGATTTGCTGTTCCAATTGCAACTTGCCACAGATATTTTCAATGAAGATTTTATGAAAGATTTTCCTCTCCTTCCTACCTGTCCTCCTCCCCTCCCTTTCTCTCTTCATCCTTCCTCTCATACTTCTTTCTTCTCTTTCTTTACCAAATTTTCTTTGGGTGTTGAGCTAGCTTACATACAAAATAGTAAGGATGATGTATATGTAAGTTGTAGAACATATTCATAAGATGGAAATTGAAAAACCATAAAAATTTGAGTTTTTAATGTTCTTAAAGTATACAAATGATTCTGTCGGTACTCTAAATTCATCCTTTCAGCTTTCTTTCTAGATAATCATTACTCTAAATGTTTCAGTTATAATTCATTCAATTTTCTCAATATATTCACTATATAAATATGGAAATCCATTCCCAAATGATACTTTACCTACTTTTAGTTGTTACTGAATTTAAATCAATAATATCATGCTGCAGTTTGAAAATGACCTATTTAGACCTGTTTGTGAGATTTGATAGAGTTGCTATATAGAAAATAGTGACTATATGTCAATTTTTTAGAGTTGATCCATATTTTGTTATATGAATACAACTTCAGTATTTAGCCTCTCACACAAACATTGATATTGTATTGTCTTAGTATTCTGAACAGTGATTCCATGAGCAGTTTTGTGTTACCCTTTTAGAATGCATGTACAAAATTTTCTTTCATTTTTTATTTTAAGATGATATTCCTAGAAGCAAAACTCCTGAATCACAGAGCATGCATGGGCTTAAATTTACCAGATAATATCAACATAGCCCATAATTCCTTCCAATGTAATACTACTAAAATGTTGCTCAAAGTATTTTCATTTTTCCAGTTTCAGTAATCTGTAAATCTCCCTTCTCTTCTGGCATGAGCATTGCTCATTTGTGCCACATCTTTTTATTTTTTGATTATTCACTTTAGGGGTGATTCAATTTTATTTTTCAGTATCTTGTCATTCCTTACATGCCTTTTGCATTTCTTAGCTTTCTGCTCTTACCTTCATTATTTTGTTAATTGTATTATAGTTACATAACTAACACTTACATTATGCTTATTACATGCCAGATCTTTGGGTGGAGAGCTAAACTTGAGTTTTCAGTGCTTTTGCAAATTGCCCAGCAACTTGAGACTTCACACGCTATAGGGTCCTATCTAGAGTCATTTGCATTGGTCTAGAACTAATTTGATCTAGAGTTAATTGCTTTGGTCCAAAAGGATAATAAAATTCTTCTTATCTTCCCAAGTGGTCTAACTGGGTGTACTTGCCTTCAGTCCTTTAATTTAGATTTTGGGTGCCAGAAAACACCAGTGTGCTGTCTTTAGGTATGAAGCCAAGACATTGGAGATATCTGAAGTATATTTGGCCCTGAGGAAGATGCATTTACTTCTCAATGGTTAGGATGAGAACCTTGTCTCCTCTCCATCCTGATTCTAAGATGAAAACAATAAATACTGTTTTCTTTTCCTTTTTTTTGTATTTGCTCTGTCTTTATTCTTTTTTTTTCTATTCATTTTTTTATTGTGAAAATACTGTACAGAGGGGTAACAATTACATGGGCAAGGTAATGAGTACATTTCATATCAAACATTGTTGCCTCTTCCTTTGTTTCCCCTTTCCATCCATTCCCATCTCCCCTCCCCACGACCCCCCTATCCTCCC